AAAAAAAAAAAAAAAAAAAAAAAAAAAAAAAAGCAGCCATTAATTTTGTTAGCATCTGAGACAAGAAGAGCAGGAAAAGCTTTATTTAGATTTCTGTCTGAAATAGCAAAGTATGTATTTTTATAATCCTTGTGCTCGCATCTCAGAGCTGAAGTCAGCTGGGTGGTTTTTGTTTGCAGGGTTTGGTGCAAAGGCTTTTATTTTTGTTTGTTTAACCTTTGTGTCTGCACCCTTGATCTGCCCTTTGGAGCATCTCCGAATCTGGCATTCTCACAAATCCCTAACTCACAACAAATCTTAACTCTGCCCTCTGTGTTCTTCCTGCATTGGCATGCAAATAACAAGGAAATTGCAGGATTCATCCAGCTCATGAGAGGTGGATGCAGAACAGATCTGCAGGGAGGCTGTGCAGGCATTCCTGCCTCACACAGAGGGAAGGATCCTGCTGCAACAAGCCTTGTAATGGGGGACTGGCAGCCCCTCACCCCCTGGCAAGTCTGCACCTGGCTTCTGCACTGTAAAGACATAAATCAGCTGCAGGACACACCACAGGCCCTTGGGTTCCTCCACCCTCTTGATAAAACAACAAAATCCAGCTGAGCTTCAAGTGTGAAATGAAATCCAGGTGAGTTGAAGGGCTGCAGAGACAATGGCATAAAGTTCCAGATCCCTAAAAAGGTGATGAAATGAAGCTTTGGGAAAGCAGCCTTTGCACTTGATGATTTCCTAAGATTCCCATTGGGTGGTTCACAGATATTCCTAAACCCCAAAACTGGTGCCATTTGCATAGCTAGGTATATTCTTCTTGCTGTTGTATATTTGCTTTGTTTTCTGAGAAGCTGTTTATGGTTCACTAGATACAAAGCAAGGGACTGGGCATCAGGAGCCCAGCTATGGGCTTTCTTTGGCTTCTCCCTGTGACTCAGTTCCTTACCATTCTTTAGCTCTCCTGTCTCTTCCTCTGTGTTTATACATTGCCTACCACAACAGGGCTTGGGGCTCAGCACAGCCTCTAGGAAGCAGCACCACAATACAATAAAGACATGCTCCTTTCAAAACTCTCCCACCTCCATGAATAGATGTGAGCTTGGTTCTGATCCAAGCAACCTTATCCGCATAGTACAGAAAGAACCTGTCATGGTGTGAAATACTGAACTCTGCCTCTATTTGGAGGAAAGCCACAATTTATCAAACTAGCACCACTAGGAGCAGATCTGTCTGCCTACCTAAATCCTCCTTGCTAGCTAATAGCAAGGCAGGGAGTTTTGTTTCATATTTTTTATTTTTTAAAACTGAGATGATCATTTATTCAAAGTATAATGACTGCAATAGATGGGACTTGTAACAGATTCAGAATTAACATAATGATATTTGATAATAATCATAACATTTCATAATATTGATTGCAAGAGAAAACTGACAGCACAAGAATATACCAGCTGTCTGTACGTGTAGAATCTCCCAGCTTTTAACTTTTTGTCTCCCAAAGAAAGTTATCAATCAAGAACTTTGTTTATTAGTTTATTTTCTTATTTGTTTATTCAAGTTAGTTCATTTATGCAGAGGGAAAGAGAGATGGCAAAATTTCAAGTATTTAAGTGGGAAGGGAGAGGGATTAAGACCACAGTCCTGGCCCAGACCAAAGAATCATAGAATGGCTTAAGTTGAAAGATCACTGAGCTCCAGCAGCATCCCATGGCCAGGGTTGTCAACCACTGGATCAGGTTGCCAAGATGTATTTCCTGGTCTTC